CATATCCCAGAAAGAACACCAGGAAGATTTTACATGCATGGACTTGTCACATCCCTTGTCTAGCGAGGTAGTGCAATACTAGCCAAGTTCAGAAGTGTGTAGTATCATATTGTGATCCGAGCCAGTCTGTTCGTCCATTATTTCCCAGTCTATAATATTTTCCAGTATATTGTTACCAACTACAGTCACTATTTGTTTTGAATCGACTACTTTCAAAAGTTGTCAAATTTGATATTTTATTTATTACGTGCATGTCACACACTCAGCCAATCAAGAAATTTCTCTCCCCTTTCATCATCCCTATCACTATACCAAATTTCTGATTTAGCATTAATGTCTGCTCCAAAAATGGTATTCTCCTTTCAATTTTTGATATAATACTATATAATTTATTTATATATGGTTCAATCGGCTCCCTATATTTAAAATAACTACAAATTATAATACATTTTAGTTCTTTCCATTTTAACTTAATTACAATTCAATGTTTATCGCATAGAGAATCTATTTTCATGACACTTATTTCTTCATTTATTATAGCAATGGCAGCTTGTACACCTGTCTCATCTCCTACTATAATTCTTGTTTTGACACCTAATCCATTTTTAAGTCCTCTAACGGGAGGTTCCTGAATTAGCAAAATATCTATTTTCTTCCTACCTACTATTTCGCGACAATTATCGAGTGTTATCCTTCCTCTTCCCATATTTATCTGTCCGATCCTTAAATGCTCCTCAATTTTAGATTCCATAATCTGACGATAGGTCTGTAGAGTAACGAAGCGAGGCGGCTAAGGACGGGACGTCTGAATCTCCGGGCTTAACGACCGCTATCCGGCCCCCCGCCTGCCTTAAATGCATGCATATACATGCATTAAAAAACATGATTACAAAAAAATGGCTGTATCGGTGGGCCGGATCAGCAGAGTAGCTCTCACGTATCGGGTTTCTCTAGGTAGGAAGTCCGAAGCGTACTGCGTAACTGCTCTGAAGTTTCTAGAGTACGGTCGATGGGTGACAGTCGAAGGATCTGAATTTTAGAAGAGGGACCATTTTCACCTGACTAAGTCGGCCTCAGGCGGACATTTACCGAACTTTTGACCAGAAAGAAAAATGCAGGTAAGAGACCGACCACATGTTTGGATACCAATATGATAGAACGTTGATTTGTATGTCTATGAAGAAGCAAGCAGTTGTGGGCCTGTTGACCATGCACGATACTGACATCATTGATGAGGTGACAAAAAACCACTCAATTCATCATTCAAAATTTTACATTTACAACGTTTTAATTGGGAAAACTCAAAAATAAGTCAAAAACTCACGATGATGAAAATTTAAAATATTTTTTACATTTTCAGTTCGTCAAGTTTCTATTTTTTTAAGTTTTAATTTTCTTACTTTTTACTTGTAAATGTTGGAGTTTCATTTTCATTTTCAATGAATTGGTAGGTAGCTAATACAAATTTTTGATAAAAATATCGATGTAAATGTGTGTCAGAGTTAATTTATCTTAACAATTAGGAATCGTGATGAGAAAATGAAGAAAACGCAATTAATATGATTAAACAAATTTACGCCACTGATGTCCGCGAGAGCTGAGGAAGTTAATGAGCTGATTGCGTTGGAGGCTGAAATGACCTAGGTGTTGGTAGCCCTCCAGAGCCCAACCGCCGTGGCTGAAACAATAAGACCAACGTCTGACCTTGGTGCTGCCAACACTGGGGTTGGGCGATTCTCGACGCCTGCCAGAAATTTATCGTAAATTACAAAAGCTGGAATTGCCGGTGGACTGCGAGAAGTGATAAGCTCAACTCTGTACACGTGCTTATGTCATGTGCAGATTTGAGCTTATAATCAGTAATCCGTAAATTAGAAACATAGCAATAATAATATTCTCTTAAACACTATTGCTACACATTTGTCAAACCATATGAATGGGCGTAATTTCGTGGGAAACAGTGTTTTTTGGCCCCGAAGTGGGGTAGACCTACCTCTCGTTAAAGGACATGTGTTCATCTCGGTCATCCTGCGAAATAAAAGAATCTAGTGATACAGCCTTTCGGGCTTCTTTTCTACTTTAATACTCAGAGGTGGAGAGACTTTATGAATATTAAAACCTAGCTATTAACATAGCTTGGGTAATCTTTTGTCATAACTACCGTAGAAAATAAAACTTAGATACGTAATATAGTTTTTTCCGTTCTTAATCACACTTTCTCCACATTATTGCACCATAAATCATGTTGTTGACACGTTTGAGCTGTCTGTCAAAGTGTTCTACGTCTAACAGGTGGACTTGTTGTACGTTGACTGCTGTTCTAAGCCTTTGATGGTGAACTAAAGCGGCTTCCTCTACTGTTTCCATTTTAAGGTCTCTGATGTACCAAGGTGCATTGACCATCATTACTGTACATTATCTTTGTTTGATTTGGCGGTTGGTCATTCTGGCACAGCCTCAGTGCTGGATGCCATAAATCCATATAGGCTTGAGGACGTGTTGATAAAGGAAAACTTATTTTCAACTAATTAAGATTTTCGTTGAGATAAAAAGTCAGTGTCACAAGCGGGATTCGAACTCACGACCTTCGGCTAAATACGCCGTTGCTCTACTACTTGAGCTATCGTGTCTTCGATCCACTCGGACACCAACTTCTCATCTCAACCCCACCTTTTGAATTTTCCCTCCTTTTTTCAATTGTCGTGAAATGTATTTGATTCTCGGCGACAAATGAAATGCCCACGGAGAGCTTTAGAGACATTTTGCTTATTACATTTTATTAGGCTTCGTGGTCCGCTTGACCAAATAAATTCTTTTCAATTAATTAAGGTTTTGGTTCAGATAAAACTTACTTTCAACGTGGAAAGGAGAGCTTCTGCCTATTAGCCAGTTCATTTTCGGAATTTGATAGTGAGCTCTTCACTCTTTGTTTTGACGTGTTTTCTATCGCAATTATGCACTTAACGTTAGACTTTGCCTGCCTTGTTGGCGCATGCAATTTCAAGGTAGGCTGGTATGTCCAAATGTACCGATTTTTCTTTATGCACCTTTATTCTCCATTTTGTCGTTCATTTATAAATTCGATAAATGGAATTGTTTAGTATACGAGTCGAATGAACATTGTTTTCTCAAAAGGCCAAATGGGTGATTTTGTTTAAGCTTTAGATATCGGAGATCATTTTTATTACTAAACTTAAAACCTTGTCTTTCTCAGGCAGTGCCCTCTGGTGGTTCCAATCTTTTGTTTCGAGCATTTCCCAAGTAGTATTCCTACTAAATAAGCCCCATCCATGTTGTTACATTAATCACATACAAGCTTCAGTTGTAAGAATTCAGGATGACTTAAACTCAAGCAGCTCCTGGACATTTCTTTTCCCTTTCTGCTCGACTTCGCCAAGTGGGCTAGGCTTACGTCACGTCAGGGGACATGTTACATGAATTCTGTTTCATAAGTTTAAACAGAAAAACACAAAATTAGCAAATTTTATAGGCCAATGTCTTAATCTAAACAACCTGTTTTCCTAATTTTATTTTTCATTTCATATCAATTATTTCAGTAAAGGCTGATCATCAAAGTTATCATCGCCCGCAGTTTTAATTATTTTCTATTATCATTTTCATATATTATTTATAAAATAAACGAGTAGTCATTGTTGCATTATGATAATTAAAGGATTCCATTTGGTTAGGGCAGGTGAAACTAATGGTGTTATTAAGGCAGGTGTTTCGGCCTGGTTGAACACCCCCCCCCTCAAATCCGCCAAGTGCAGCTGGACTTTTCATTGCAAACTATAGTACGCCAAAAGAAATTCCTAACTTGTGGTGAAAAGGAAAATCCACTTTTTTTTTATCTAGGTACAAAAATTGGAAATTAGAAACAAAAAGTCAAACATTTCAGACAACTTTGCATTTAAACAATCACAATGAACACACAACAATTGTGCGAATTAGGGCTCCACAAAATTTGGCTTATCCCCAATTCTAGTATACTTGCCGGTTTTCCACCGATAACCCCCTCACAATGATGGAAGGTGGTATGATCTCTCTTTCTCTCTCTCTCCCTCTCTCTCTCTCTCTCACTCTCTCTCTCTCTCTCTCACTCTCTCTCACTCTCTCTCTCTCTCTATCTCTCACACACGCACACACACGCACACACACACATACACACACGCACGCGCGCGCACACACACAACAGACAAAAAAACTGAAATATAAAAATAGGTATAATGTTAACATAAATTGTAATTAAAATATACCAAATGCGAAAAATTCACATGAAAACATTTACATCTTTACATCTAGGATTGCATGCAATAAAAAAGTAATTGTTGTGTTAATAAAATTATTACACTCAAACTAAAAAGATATTAATATGACTAATAGATTATATACAAAAAAAAGGAATAATCTAACCAAGTTTTATGTAGCGTTAGTGTCCAAGTTGACGCCGGCTGCTGTAGGATGCTGTTAGAGAAAGATGAAGCTGGAAGCTTCAAAAAAGTAGCAAAAAGTGGAGCTGGACGCTGGAGAGGCGAGCACATAGATGTTCCACGAAGTTGGCAGATTCTATCGTAGTGATTCTTAGTTCCGCGGTGAAAAACAGATAATAAATAAATACCAAGCTCGCGAAGTGAGCGGACTATCACAGACGTGCACTGCGGCTCTCAGTCTCGGAGAAACAATGGAGAGGAAACGCCAAAAAAGTGCAGAAGAAAGAGAACGCATCTTCCGGCCCGCACGCACGTTGTCCACTCGTCGCGCTGCTATAACAAAACGGCTGATCATCACACCTTCCCACCGTGCTTACACACTATTTAAAATTAACTTGATATTATTATACATTACGGTAATAGAATATAAATCTACTCCAGTTTTTAGCAAATTAATAAATTAAAAACAAACTTTTCTAAATAAAAGGAAAAGGAAAGACTTCTACATTGACCCACATATATTATTAATATTAACAAATTATATTTAATTTGCGTTTGTTTTGTTTTCAGATTGGTGATACACCTAATCCTGAACTTAGAATTATTACGAGCTCTTTCAATAAAGTCATGTATAAAGGTAAGTGATCAATAAACAATTATTAATCCATTTATGTTTAGTCGTTTAATTGACCAAATTACTTTTTTCAATTAATGTAAGGTACAATGTAAGGTCTTGATTGGGATGAAAAAGTGTCACGAGCGGAATTCGAACCCATGATCTTCCGCTCAATACGCCGCTACTCTAACCACTTGAGCTATCGTCACGATGTCATTAGGTTTTGGGTAGGATGCTCTTCAGGTTCCACAGGAGGCACGGGCCAAACCCTGACCACTGAGCAATGTCAAGGAACACTCCCGGACAACATTGCTTCTGCTACGATTGTGGAGTGTAGAGACCTAAATTCAAACTCGTGGGTTAACTGGGTGATCTGTCCCGTAGGTCCTGTAGTGAGTAATATAACTATGTGATCTACTGGTAAGGTGTGTCTCCAGTCTGTAAGAGGCCAGCCCATTGGCATTCCAGAGAAATGTTGACAGGGAATTTTGGTTTAGGAAGCTCATTTGGCTGCACGAAGAAGGAGATTGGATATTACTGAGGTTAGAAGAGAAATCATGGGATTGATGGTATTCTTGTGAGTCCTCAAGAAGGAAGTGAGGTGAGTGGCGATGTCGTGCAGGAGGAGATGCCGAAACGCCGGAACACCACGCGTGGCTTGAGCGTATGAACACTGCTACGGCGTTGGTGGTGGAGATTGATGTTGACGATCCAGTAGGCGGTTGTTTTCCTGACTGTAAACGGGGGGGAGTTCGCCTCAACATCTGTATTCTTTATGAACCGAGCATCCCTTCTAATAAAAAAGTTTATTTACAATATTTGTAGCACCTGTGACCCCAGGACAATTTCTTGTTCAATACTAAAAATTTTATGTACAGTTAATACACCTAATTGTTTACGACACTAGTGTTATATAACAGGGGCAAAACAATTCAAACGAGCCAACAGCTAAATTTACTTTACATTAGTCCCTAGGGCCTTTAAGTCTCTCAGCCATGTCCCAAAGAGGTTTATGTTTGGTTGTCGTTATTATGCAGTACTGGTTTATGCCCGATACCTTTTATTATGGCTTTAGTGCTACTGCAGCATCTAACGAAAAATTTGCAAGTCAAACTGCGCTGTATAAACTCTGGAATTTAGGTATAATAATGTACATCAATGTTGGATGATATAGAACTGTTTATGCTTAGAGATAAAACTTTTTTTGGGTTATTTTCACTTTTCTTAGGTTGGTGTTGCAGTTGAAGCCTCACGCAGCGCATGGATATGGTAACATAGCCATGAATAAAGTTTTAAAAATGAGCTATTCATTTTTGACACCAAACCTAATGTCCTTGCAATTAGTCAGAGACGATTGATGATGTGATTGTTTCATTGTTTGTCAAGTCTTGACCTCTCCTCACGACTTCAACAAATTATTTAAATGTAATATTTCGGATTGTCTGCTTCTTTTTCTTCTTCCAATATGTGAATGCAATCAAAGCATCTCGCTTTATTTCAANTTTATTGACTTTATCAATTCTAAAAATTCTGAATTCTACTCAGACGGAATTAATAAGTTACCAACACGTTGGGAGAAATGTATTGAGAGTATGGGAAATTATTTTGATTAAAGAACATTGCTTTAAAGTAACTAGTTTCTTTTTTTTTGTTTAATACCAAAATCCTGCATTATTTTCCGGACAACCCAATACATGCCGAGAGTCTGACACGCCAGCCACTCTGCTAACCGCGGTCCCGTTCTTCAATTTATGTTTAATTTTATATGTTGAACTACTTTTTTTAGTAATAAACTTAATCACTTCTCCTTCTCGAACTGTATTTTCATCATATAAGGCATGAGTTTTAATTTCGAATAAATATATATTGTTGTAAGTAATTTGCCAACACAAAAGCTTTGCGGGTGTCTTCTTGTTCTCATTCACCGTTATGTTTTTTATTGGATGTAAGTTTGTATCAGGTGTTTTAATATTTTTAGCAAGTAATCCGTCATTATATTTGGTGTTTTTGTCATTCAATCAGTTTTTTAAATCCCTCCTCATTATTTTGTCGTTTTTATGTTATTTTCAATGTATATTTCACTTTTCACTCTTCAGGATCAGTGAAAACGTTGAATTGAAGTGAGATGTTATTTTGCAAGAGCGGTTTCCAAGAAAATTGTAGCACAATTGAAAAAAAAAGAAAACAGCTCTATAGAAATAGCTAGATGGTCCTGTGTATCAATTGTAATGTGTTGAGATTAGTTCAGATATCATTTACATAAAAAGAGCGAACGCATTTAGAACCCTTATAATGCACTGTAATGGAAAAATATGTAGCTTTTTAAAATCGATTCAAAAAATACAAGTCAATACATAACACATCAAAAGGACACTTACAATGCGTTAACCTTTATTTTGCTGCCCGTAATTATTTATGAATACAAAAGAAATATGTCCTGTGGAATACAAATACCTCGGAAAAGTGTTTTTTTTTTTCAAACATTTATTATTTGAAAATGTCCGTAAATAAGATAGAATTGAAAGTTGATAGAGTACTCAATTTTCCAAAATCGGCTTTCTCTCACGCTTCACATATAGGCTACACATACATTCACTTTTAATATATATAAGATAAACAAGTTTTCTATGAAGTACTATACACAATAAAACAACACTGTTTCCCACTCAAATATTCGCTGCCATTGCTCATGCACGATTCTCCCATTGGTTGGCATTCTTACACGCTTTACATATGGAACCGAGGCTCGAGCAAATTTTCTGTAATAATTTGGTGAAGATACACCCCACAGATAACGGTTGTTTGATGGTGATATCACAGATGTTTTACATTTGACTGGATAAACTTTAAATGTAACGTGTGTTTCTTAGTGACCTGTTGTTTCATTGTTTGTCAAGTCTTGACCTCTCCTCACGACTTCAACAAATTATTTAAATGTAATATTTCGGATTGTCTGCTTCTTTTTCTTCTTCCAATATGTGAATGCAATCAAAGCATCTCGCTTTATTTCAATGTCATTCGGCCTTTTAAGACCAATTCAAATAAATTTACTATTTGTTAATAACTGATAAGAGTTTTTTCTACTTTCTGGACTGTATTAAAACTAAAATTAATGAGGAGTTGAGAGGCCAATATCTTAAGCATTAGCTTCAAGAAAACAGATCTAAATCTCGTTACTTAAGTGGAGAGGAGAGGTGGGAACTGGTGAAAGATTTTAAAATAATTGAAAAGAAAAGGAGGATTATAGGGTGAGGCGGTGGTTTAGAAACATTTAAGGGTATTAGGGAAAACTGTGCCTTTCCTTCTGGCTGGTTTAAGGTATTCACACTACAAAAGGAAGTGCGCTTAACAAGTGAAGGTAGTGTCTGCGGATCGGATTCAAAGGGATCGTTAGGGGACGGCGTATTTACGAAATCTTATCGTCATTACACTTCCGCGAAAGGCAAAGGACTGCGCCTCATTAAAAACGTCCCGTCAACATTCATTATTTATAAATACGTGGAGTATTCTTGTTGTTTTAAACGATTTTCTCATTCAGATGGAAGAGGGATTGGAGCCGATAAAGGGCCTTCCGGTAACGACCCTCTTTATCGGTCGATGCTCGGCTAGCTCGCCAACCCTCCTCATCCACGTCTCGACCCTTGGCCACCGACACTCCTTTCCACGTTATCATTTTTGATTAAATAATTTATTAAAGTAAAGCGCTTTTGAACCAAACAGAAATTACAAAACAATTATAAATTCTTTACCTTGTGTTCTGACTAATTGTAAGTCAAAGTTTTATATTTAAAAATGCGATACAAAAAAGGGGTAAAATGTAAACTTTTGTGATTTCCTCTTATGTTCTGCGAGGTTGGTTTAACTATTGTTTGATAGTTACCTATCATTTTGGTCCGCCTATTCTCGATGATTACACAAAAAGGACTCCAACACAACATAACAGCAACTAGCGCAGAACAACACTTCACCCAGACAATAATAGACGTTGAAATAATATTAATTAATAATTATATTTAAGAACACAAAAGACCTGTTGGAAAAATTCTACAAATCAACAATCCAAGGGATGGTTAGGGATGGATCAACAATCCATCCAACTGCCAAAATAGTCTCCTTTACAACTAACACATCTTACAAAAATGACCACTGCAGACCAACTTTAAATTCAACAATTAATTAAGGTTATTAGCTGAGATGAAAAAAAGTTAATGGCACGAGAGGGATTCGAACCCACGACCTTCGGCTTGATACGCCGCTGCTCTACCACCTGAACTATCGTGACCTCGATCCACTCGGACATCAACTCCCCATCTCAACCCCACCTTATGAGTGCCATTAACTTTTTTCATCCAGCTAATAACCTTAATTAATTGTAATGTATTAATTGGTCAAGCGGACCACGAAATAAGTGAATTTAAAACACGTCATTGAAAAAGACATAAACATTAATCTTTATGTGTAGTATTTAGTGACCGTTAATTAATGACTATTTAGAGATCGTGAGATGCTGTTTGGTCTGATTTAGGTTTAGAAAAACATTTTCTTTATCGTGCCAACGTTTCGATCTTTATGGAGATCATCTTGACCAAGGCACAATCAACAAATCCCCTTTAATCATACGTAAACCTGAAATTAATTTTCAAATGCTCAAACTTGAAACACAAAACAAAACTCCAAAAAATACAAATGAGGCTTATTGTTTATATTAAATTTATATAAACTATAAACCAGCCACACAAACTCGCAAAACACAGTACACGTTACTCAAAACACACCTCAAAATGCCTAAAAAAACTCCACAGACCTAATTAACCAAATCAAAGACGTACGAATTAAAACCGTTAAATTAATATCAATTGAGATAACAAACCTATATCCATCAATTCCAGTACAGGAAACGTGGATATAGTACGAAAGGTACTACACCATAAGCGAGGTTGGGCAGACCAAAGTTAGCAATTGTTTTATTGGTAAATCCTTCAAGCCATACCTTGTCAAACCCTTGTGACACATTAAGGAAG